GAGAGTTTCGTCTTCATGTCCTGTTTGAGTGGCTGTTTGCAGTTGCCTGGTCACAGGCGCTGATTGATGTGTCTCTTTGTGTATTTTTGCATTTCCTCTGTGGAAGGAAGGAAGTATTTTGTCTTTGCCTTCGGCCTCAAACTCTGATCTCTGCAGCCCCACAGAGTCCCGCTCACCACCACAAGATCTTCATTGTGCGTTTGATCCTATGTGATGCCACTGTGTTTACGTCCTCACCGGTTTTGTTCTCCCTCCGTGTCGCTCCGCAGGGTGCAGGGTAAGAGGAAGAGGGACTTCTATGCCAGAGCTTTAGGATGGCCAGTGAAGGCTCCACTATCCCCAGTCCTGTCGTCCGCCAAATTGACAAGCAGTTCTTGATCTGCAGCATATGTCTGGACCGCTACGAGAACCCCAAAGTCCTGCCCTGCCTGCACACCTTCTGTGAGCGGTGAGTGGAGTTTCCAAAGTGCCGTAAGTGTTGTACTGTTTTATGATTTCAGACACATGATGCAGCCTATAACGGTGCAGTAATAAAAATAATAACAACAGATTTTTAAATGAATATCTCATTGCTTTAAACTTGTGCGTTATTTTAGGACACAGGTCTGCATCGCTGCTGTTGACTCTGGTGTGTTGGTGTCATCCTCGCTGTTAAGCAGCCTTTGTTTCTGTCACAAAAGACAAACTGTTCACGGTGTGCGCCTGCCTCTTTGCTCTGGTTGTTTCTGGAGCATCAGTGTGCAGCTGAACAATATACAGTCATTTCTAACTCTTTCTGTGGAGCATAACTACTGTGTTTCACACATAGACGCTGGGATGAACATTAAAATATTCAGCTCCACCATTTACCTTTGTTTGACTAGATTAAAGCTCATATGAGCTGTCATGTACTATATTTACATGTGATTTGATGATCATCTTTGGGTCACTGTTTATTACGTCCTCAGCAAACCGACAAAGAGTCTGTTGGAGGCTAGACAAGCTGTGACAAAACACTTATTTACCTCAAGCTTATTTATTTCATGTAAAAATAAGACTGCTGCACAATGGACAACATATATGTGTCATTGATGATATCAGTAAATGTAGTTCAATAAAGGAGAATTAAGATGAGCTGAATGAAAAGCACAGCAGCTACATGCATAAACAGTATAGTTTCACATATATGTTTTGTGTGCGTGGCAGGATTTTAAAGTATTCTCTGCCATGTTTGTTTTTCTTGTGCTTTATTTATTATTGTATTTTTAATATAACTTTGGATAAAGTTACATACTCATTGTGGTAAAAAAAAGCGGGCGTTTTTATGGTGGCAGGGCAGTGAGTAGCACTGTAGCCTCTCTGTGTAGTTTCTAGCTGTGCTTGTTTACTCGTGCAGGTGTTACTGCATTAAAAATATAAATATATATATACTGACTTTAAATAATTTGAATAGTATAATATAAAACACTAAATTTAATGGAAGCTCTGTATATACATTAAAAGCTTCACAATGACAGGATTTATGGCACGGTCATTGCATTTGAATACACTACATTGCACAGATGTCGTCGATAAGTGCTGCTGCAAATCGCTGTCAGAGTATCATCGTTCCAACCACTAGATGGTCTCAAAGACAGGATTTTGACCTGCTCTGTTCTTCTTTTACTTGAAGGACAAATAAGCTGTTAATGGACTGCTAGATGAAAACTTTAAGTCAGGCAATAAAGCACCACATCTTGAAACTACAACCTTTTTAATACACCTGTCGTCCTCCTGCAGGTGCCTGCAGAATTATATCCCAGCCCACAGCCTCACACTGTCGTGCCCCGTGTGCCGCCAGACCTCAATCCTGCCGGAGAAGGGTGTGGCGGCGTTGCAGAATAACTTCTTCATCACCAACCTGATGGACGTGCTGCAGCGGGCGCCGGGCAGCTGCAGCCAAGAGGCCGCCGCTCTCAACAACATCACCACTGTGGCTACAGGCCAGCTACTCTCCTGCCCAAACCATGGAGGCAGCGTAAGAGCTCCTCACACTGACACCTGACAGCAAAGTCGGCTTTAACATTTAGTTAGGGTTATAGATGTTCAGAGTGGAGCTGAGGGTGAAGTCAGGAGATCACCAAGTCATTATGTTTCATAATCTGAGCGTCTGTCATGCCTGTACACAATAATTTCATAGCAGTCTCGTCCACATCTGTCTGGGTATTTCAGCGTGGAGCAGAATATCAAACCAGCTGACGGTGCCGCGATTCAAGAGGTCGAGATCATTTTAAAGCAAAGAACATTATTTATTGATGGGCAAGTTTGTGCAGTAGACTGATAAAGTGACACAGCAGAGCAGTGTCCCCAACAAAAGCAGGAAATAGGACAGGACTCCTGAGTCTGGAGATGCAGAGTTGGCAGATGTGAGATGGAGTCATTAAAGGGGTGTGTAAGCATGCAGGATCAGGAAGATGGTTTATTTCCTCAGCATTAATGTGGATAAATGGGTCTATGACTCGAGCCTATTATAAATTCAGATCCCTGCTTTTTCCTGATTTGTAGGTGATGGAGTTTTACTGTCCTCCGTGTGAGACAGCCATGTGTCAGGAGTGCACGAGCGGCGAACACGGAGAGCACCCGACCGTGCCTCTTAAAGACGTAGTGGAACAGCACAAGGCCTCCTTGCACCACCAGCTAGATGCTGTTAAGAAGAGGTAGGCAGCAGCAATATTATTATGTAAATACTGTCATATTGCACTGCAGTGACGATTCTCCAGCTCTGTCACACGACCTTGACATTTTACTCGACTGCCTCCAGGTTACCAGAGATCGACTCAGCCCTGCAGACGCTGTCAGAGATTCTTCAGCAGCTGACCAATCAGAAGAGCGCCATCGAGGACGACATCCACGCGACCTTCGATGAGCTGCAGAAGACCCTCAATGTCCGCAAGAGCGTTCTACTCATGGAGCTGGAGGTCAACTATGGCCTCAAGCAAAAGGTGAGTGCAGAGTGAAGCAGCTGGGACTTTGGCTAAAATGTAACAACCAAATAGGACAAATGTAAAGCACTTAAATGAGCCTGATCTGGAGATTTTGGAGCACAGACTAAAGTAATCTTTTCACCTGTCACGGGTCCTTCAACAGGTCAGGGCTATCCAAATAATATAGATAGTATCAATACCAACACTGGTATTCTTACTGGCCCAATACTGACACGAGAGGATTGATGCGTCTGTTTGTTTCTCTGCTGTAAGCTCTGTAGATTATTCTCGTTTATCAGGCAGCAGACATGTCGGCGCAAACACCGCTCCTCTCATGCAGGCACATTTTGCTTCACCGTGTTTGTTGTTGTCCTGTGGTCATGTGACTTAGTTGCCAAATGAAGGTAGAGAGAGACAGAGCCCACTGTCACTGCCATTCAGTGAGCCAAAGAATAACCATGCAGATCATGTCATGGTGAAAGTAATGTGCCAGTCACGACTGATGCCACTCCAAAGTGTCCATCACAGTTGTTACTTCAGCAGTCTGATTACCTCCAGACTATATACAAACATTCAAAAATATATATTCAGCCCACATAATTGTGTTAATTATTAAAATAGATCATTCTGTTGGAAAGGGAAAAAAATATACCTTAAAGATGAATTGTATTTTAAAAAAAATGGCTGAATGTGATGAATGTAGAGTTTATTTAGTTTATGCAGCACATTTAAACAACAGAAGGTGACCCAAAGTGCTTTAGAGACCACAACAAGAATAATAATAATAAAAACTGTTTCAAAATATGAATGAAAAGCTAAAAGGTGTATTTGGTTGTGTTAAGGAATTATTGTACAAAGTAAAAATCATGTGATTTAGTGGTCATTAAAATTGTTCGGAATCGCAAATGTATGATGAGTCATGCTTCTCCGGCATAAACTGTCTAAATGAGTTAAAAGTATCGATATCAGTATTTGGTATCGATCGGATAGAAAGTAAAATAAATTTGCAGTATGGCACAGACTGCCTCTCCACAGGAAGGAGGTGCCGGAGCGGGGGCTTGTGCGCTGCATTGACCCATGAGCCAATCAGCCGGTTGGGTTAAAAGCCTGCTGACTCCCTCGGGGAGCTGCATCACATGGGCACAGCTAATGATTTACAACTGAGTGGCTGATGATCGGTCACAGCACTGCAGCCCACGGGGAAGCTGTGCTGCTGCTCCTGCTACATGAAGCCGGTGTCCCGCGTGCGCTCTTGATTTGGGCGTGCCGCGCGTGGGGAGGGAGTACAGTCCGGGCCGCAAACACTTTGTCACTTCACCGTGAATTTCTCGTCCTACAATGTTACAAAGAGTCTTAGTTTTACTGCGCGGATGAGCTGTGTGGGTGAAACACTGGACGCTATGGCGTCTCTGGGAGTAGAAGAGGAGTGTGATGACGGCCGAACGCCGGTGAGTTTGTCTCGGTGCTTTAACGTGTGCAGCCTGCGGTAATGTCGCACTTTTTTAGCGCCAGATTAACTTAACGTGTGAGCGCAATCCCCCACACAGCGCTCACAGGTGTGTTCGGTTTCACGGGGGATTTACAAAAGTTGCGCTGCTTTCTAAACACATGCGCAGTCTGTTCGCTTCAGTATCAAGCGCAGAATATAAGATGCGCTGCTTTTTGTTTTTGTTTTCGTTTTGCGGCGTTAAACATCGGCGCAGGAAAGTGCGTGTCGGGCATGTTAGTAAATCACTTTTTGTTTTTCGCCTTGAGAACTCCAAGAACACATCAGCAGCAGGGTCAGCCGCAAAAACCCGAGTTCAGCTTGTCACGGCGCTCTTAGTAAACACCGACGGTAGCAACTAGTTAGTAAAGCTGGTTATTAGCGGTTAAATGTGGCTTAGGTTAGCGCGTTATTGCTCAGGAGGGTTCGTCTGTAAAATGAGACAATAGGATGACTTAAAGATTTGATTAATTCTGGATATTTGATCAGTTCCTCATCCTCAGTTACCAGGTAACCAGACCAGTTTAAACACCTGCATTAAACACACCCACACTTTATCTGCAGTTCAGTTGCAGTGAAAAGGTCATTTCTGTATGAAGGTGTTTTATATCTGGTTATCAGATACCTACAGTTTTCTGCACGTTGCTTCTACCACCTGTACAAGCAAGCGGTGGTAAGCTTTTTGAGTCCCAAAAAGCTGAAGGAAACCAGCAAAGCTGTGGCAGCTTCCACATGGGGGCGTATCTGAATATCCAGCATTACAATCAAAGCAGCCCTTATTTAATTATCAGAGTGCCTGAAAGAAGATTGCGATTAAAGAACAGCAGTGTGGTCGTAGTAAAGTGACTAATTTACAAATTAAAATTAGGTAATATAAGAAATCACATTTTTATTGCATTATATTTACCAGCAGCTTAATAAACTAACATCCCTGTAATCCTTAATTAATACCATATATTTGCTCCCAAGCTGAGGATTGCCAAGTACTAATAACCTGATCTGATCTTAAAAGCGGACACAAAGGCAAAGCTAATGTTCTTTTTGTTAGTATAATGTAATCAACAGAATAACTGCAAGAAAAAAAATAATTTTGAAAGCTTCATAAAGTTTTATCTAAGCTCAGTGTCTCTCTGCTGCCCCCTGATGCATGCATGTGTAGGTGCTCCAAGCCCAGCTGGACACCCTGCTGCAGGGCCAAGAGGGCATCACCAGTAGCTGCAACTTCACGGAGCAGGCCTTGAGCCAGGGCACCGAGGCCGAGGTGCTGCTGGTGAAGAAGCAGATGGGCGAGCGACTCGTCGAGCTGGCCAGCCAGGAGCTTCCGCTGCAGCCCGGAGAGAACAACCAGCTGGACTTCCTCGTAGAAACGGAAGGGCTAAAAAAGTCCATCCACAACCTGGGCACTATTGTGACCACCAACGCCGTTGCCTCCGAGACTGTGGCGACAGGCGAGGGGCTGCGGCATTGTGTGGTAGGCGTGCCCACCTCCATCACCATCACTACTAAGGACAAAGATGGAGAGCTGTGCAAGATGGGCAACGCAGTCATCGCCGCTGAAATGTTTTCGCCTGACGGCAGCAAGTGTGACGGAGACGTGCTCGACAACAAGAACGGCACTTATGAGTACCTGTTCACAGCTCCTAAAGAGGGCACGTGTACTTTATCTCTGCGCTTATATGACCAACACATCAAAGGGAGCCCCTTTAAGATAAAGGCCACCAAATCCATTGACGTGTCACCGACTTCAGACGGCGTTAAGAAGAGGCTAAAGTCTCCGGGCAGCGGACACGTCAAGCAGAAGGCCATCAAGAGGCCGGCCAGTATGTACAGCACAGGGAGGAGGAAAGAGAATCCCATTGAGGACGACCTCATCTTCAGAATCGGTAAGACCGGCTCCCAGCCGGAGGGCTGAACATCAAACCTTAGCACTTCCTTTGAACCGCAAAGGAGGACGTAAAGTGTAGTCTACACTGTGAGGAGCCATCAGTGGGGAAAAAAGTTTATTCAAAATGCATAAACAACACAAGCTGGCTATAAATTGCTAATGCTACCCAGTCATGTTCAAAGTGTTAAGGCGAATGTGTGACCCACCTGCCACTGAGACACAAACTTCAATACAGGAGAGGTAAATTTAGGCCAGAGTAATGACCAATATCCCAAACTAAGCCCTCCCATTACCATTATCCTCTTTTATTATTGTGGCCCACCTCCAGTATCTTCACGGCCTGTCGGGGGCCATGACCCACAATTTGGGAATCCGTGCACTAGGGAAAATTCAGTTAAATCGCTGATTAACAAGTATTTACGAGCAATTTAAAAAGTGACAAAAGCTCAATAATAATATGATTAATTCGGCTTCTTGAACATGAGGATTTAGAGTCTTGTGTTCATATGATTTTAACCCTGACATGTCACATGCTTCAGTTTTTGTGACGTCTACATCATCAATGTGATAGTTTTTGTTGTTTTCCCCACAAAAACCCAGATGTAGCAAGAAATAATAACTAATACTTATATCAAATATTATTTTAATACAAAAAAATGGTAGAAGGTTCAATAAACAGCTGTCCTTTTGCAATTCTTACTTTTTCTACCCAAAAACAGACCAAAAAAAACAATGTAAGTAAGATAATACTAGTAAATATGGTTTGGAGACGTCTGTTTCACGGTTATGTGAAGTATAAATGTTTACACAACAGAGAGCTTATTACTGCTGGAGTGAAAATTGAGCATCAGGTTACCTTTACTATGTAACCAATAGACTTTACATGTAGAAAACGTACGTGTCGTCATCATCATGGTGAACGTGGTCATGTTTCGTGTCTCACAGGCACAAAGGGAAGAAACAAAGGGGAGTTCACGAACCTGCAGGGAGTGGCTGCCTCCTCTCAGGGGAAGGTGCTGATAGCAGACAGCAACAACCAGTGTGTGCAGGTGAGAACGAATTCCCTGAAGCATCTGCGCCTGTTCTCTGAGATAACATATGAAAACTATCTAATATTTAACATAGTGTTTTATTTTATTTCATTTTATTTTTTTAACCAAATCCAGATTTTCTCCAACGACGGCCAGTTCAGAAGTCGTTTCGGCATCCGGGGCAGGACTCCGGGTCAGCTGCAGCGGCCGACAGGTGTGGCAGTGCACCCCAACGGCGACATCATCATCGCGGACTATGACAACAAATGGGTCAGCATCTTTTCGAGCGAGGGCAAGTTTAAGGTGAGTTTTATTTATCTCTGGGACTGGGTCGTTCAGTAGATTTTTCCTCAGAACGGCAATAGTCGGCATGTTGCCGGGTGGGCTCCAGTGCCGCTGCAGCTGTGCAGAAGGTCACACTGATTTTTGTCCTCGAGTCAGATGGTTACACTTTCTCACACCTCATTTGCAAATTTCTCACGCGTTAAGAGACTCACTCATGCTGGTTTTGACTTCCCCCTTTCAGCCTTCTTATCTTCTGTTAAAAGAGTGCAGATTTTCGGGTTGAAACCACTGGTTTCCTGAGTGGGATCACCCTAATAGGACTTAGGGTGTGCTCTCAGTCTACGTGCAAACACACAGAAGACAGCTTCGGGGGTTTTATGTGTTAATGCAAACAGTAATACTGACCATTACTTGTATTTTTGTGATTGTAAGTACTCATTTCCTCACGCGTGGCTTCGTGAAATAAAATCTCTCCAGAACAAGATCGGCTCGGGGAAGCTGATGGGTCCTAAAGGCGTGTCTGTGGACAGAAACGGCCACATCATCGTGGTCGACAACAAGTCCTGCTGCGTCTTCATCTTCCAGGTCAACGGCAAGCTGGTCACCAAGTTTGGTAACCGTGGCAACGGTGACAGGCAGTTTGCAGGTACACTCAATGGTAATACAGTGCACTGCTCCAAGATAACACAATTCAGTCTTTCTCCAACCTGCATGCTGAATGAAGAGGAGCTGCACTGACCTCATGAGGGTCATTAATATGGAAAAAGCAACTTTAGTCCACCAGATTCGTCCATTATTATAAACAAAAGTGTCCCTAAAACAGCATGGTGTCTCATTAATCATGCTATGAGTTGGTTGTATGTTTGTTTTTTGTCATACACTTAATCTGAGCGACAGATGTAGGAGTTTTAAGACTGACACTGATACCGATATTTTGTCTAATATGTCGTCTGATAGCTTTTCTTTTCTGACACATGAAACATAAACAGATTTCCCTAACATGTATTACGTGTAGTTATTTGAGTTATTACTATGATTATATGGCAATTCAGTTTAAAATAATTTTGTTTTATTGTTTTAAAAAATGTTCACGCTCTGCCTGACTCTCCTCAAGCTGGTTGCTTGTGGCTAACAGGGAAGTTGCAGAGTGCCCTCTGGTGGATAAACTATGCAACAGCAACACTCAAAGCATGATTAAAGGGTGCTTCGGTCTTCTTTACTTTTTAAAGTTGGATTTATGGCTATTATAAATGTTGATAGCAATATATCAGAAAATGGCCAATTACCTGACTGATATATCAATATTTTCCAATCCAACTTTATTGACCAATATTTTGGTCATGCTCTAACATTAAAGCATTAAAAATCAGTGTACTTTTATTTTTATTTATTTTTTTGTCTGTTGCTGAATTCGTTTTTGAAGCTGCATGTCCTCCACAAATATGTCCTTGTGACATGTGCAATGAAAATAAAGTTGAGTTCTATTCTGTTCTACCTGTCATGTAGGAGTTTTCTGACTTTTTGTTTTGTCGCAGTCAAGCAAAACTGTACAAATGATATCTAAAATCTTCTTCATATTTCTAATCCAGGCCCTCACTTTGCTGCTGTCAACAACAACAACGAGATCATTGTGACAGATTTCCACAACCACTCAGTCAAGGCAAGTGAACTCCCAGAGCAGTCTGTGTGTTACAGGAATACAGATGTTAGCAGCTGCCACCAAAACGTGATTTACAACGAGTTTTCTACTCGTATCATTCACATTAAAAGGCTATTGTCACATTCATCAGTCGAAGGTGGGAAATTTGTCATGTGGACGAGGATTTTATGACATTCCAACAAGTTCGGAGTCCATTTATAGTCAGTGTAGTATTGACCAATCATGTCTGAGCAGACAGTCTGTGCAAAGAGGAAACCATCGGCTAAGAATACGGTCTCAAATCCATCAGCATCTGCTTCTTATTTATTTAAATGTATCTCACTGCATTTATCAGACTGTAAACCAGGCCTGATGCACACAACAGTGAGTCCTGGTCTGGATATCAGTGTTCTGTTATGTGAATATGTGCTGGTTGCATATTATTTTTTTTTAAAGAAGTGTTCTCTCTCTGCTGTTGCTTCTCTGAAACCATACTGCAGGTGTTCAACACAGAAGGAGAATTCTTGCTGAAATTTGGCTCCAATGGTGAAGGCAATGGCCAGTTCAACGCCCCCACAGGAGTGGCGGTGGACGTCAATGGAAACATCATAGTAGCCGACTGGGGCAACAGCAGGATACAGGTACGCAGAATGAATCATTTCTACTCCTCGAAGAATCGGTTAATACAAACTTCTGTTTCTTTTTTTTATTAAGTGGCATCCAACATTACACGGGTGAAGTGAATAACGCTGATTATGTCTTCATCATGGCAACTGTTAGCGGGAGGAAGTGTTCTGAAAGTTAATCTGTTAGAAGGAAAATGGGCTAGTGTAAGGATTTAAGTGAGTTTGATAAGGAGACAAATTTTGATGACTAGACGACTGGGTTTCCAAAACCGCAGCTCTTGTGGGGTGTTCCCCGTCTGCAGTGGGCGGTATCCTTTAAAAGTGGTCCAAGGAGGGAACAGTGGTGAACCAGCGATAGGCTCATAGGCGGCCAAGGCTCACTGATGCATGTGAGGAGCGAAGGCTGGCCTGTGAGGTCCGATCCAACAGACGAACTACTGAAGTTCTGAAAAAGTTCACCCTGGTTCTGACAGAAAGGTGTCAGAAAACACTGTGCATCAGTTTGTGTATGAGGCTGCATAACTGCAGATCAGTCGGGCTGCCCATGCTGACCCCCAACACCAACACTGGGCTGGACCCCAAAGCAATGATCTGGTTTCAATCAGGTTTTCTTTTACATCATATGGATGGCCGGGTTCGTATCACTTACCTGAGGAACAACTGGAACCAGGATGCACTGTGGGAAGAATTCAAGCTGGCTGAGGCATTGTGATGCTCTGAACAATGTTCTGCCGGGAAACCTTGTGTCCTGACATCCATGTGGATGTTACTTTGACACGTACAACCTACCTAAGCATTGTTGCAGACCACGTAAACCTTTTCATGGAAACTGCATTCACAGATCGATGTGGTCTCTTTTAGCAAAGCAAAAATGGTTTAGGGAGGGTTTGACGTGCACATCGAAGAGTTCAAAGGTGTTCACTTGACCTCCAAATTACCCAGATCTCAATCGAGCATCTGTGGGATGTGCAAAGAAGTCCAATATATCGATGTCTCACCTCATGACTTACAGGATCTGTTGCTCATATCGTGGTGACAGAATCCACAGCAGACCTTCAGGGGTGTAATGGAGTCTATGGCTCGGCAGCTCAGACTTGTTTTGGCAGTATAAGGGGGACCGACACAATATTAGGCATAATGTTAGGCCTGATCACTGCACACTGGTGTTCTAAAATACATGTTTTTGAACCTCCTGAGACCCTGCGTCCTCAGATGGCGATCTTCCATTTAGCTTTTCTGCACCTTGTACAGGGAGTG